CTCAACCAGTGAGCAGACTGGTCTCTATATGGGATCCGAACCCTCGGCGGGAGCGCCGCCGTGCTCCCAAACGCTGCACTCTACCGAGTGCGCCACCGGGCTGGCCAAGAAGTTTTAAAATTTTGATGTAGCCAGGTTTATTGATCTTTGTGACTTCTTTTATGCCTTTAATCTTGCTTTTATTTTTTATTTTTATTTATTTATTTTTTTTCCTTTTTGTCTTTTTTCGTGACCAGCAACGGATCGCAAACCTCAGTGTCGCGCCCGTACCGGGCCGGGGCCGGGACCGGCAACGGGATCGCAACCCTCGGTGTTGTGCCAGCACCTTGCTCCGGCAGTGAGCGGCCGGTCTGTATGTGGGATCCGAACGCTCGGCGGGAGCGTCGCCACACTCCCAAGCGGTGCACTGTACCAGTGCGCCACTGGGCCGGCCCCTTTAATCTTGCTTTTACATTGAGGTGTTCATGCATCTGTTGTTTTATTTTTGAATGATATGAGAAATAGCTTTGGTTCTTTTTGGTTTAATTTTTTTTAATAACCCATGTTTTTCTCACTAATTTGAAATTTCCACCTAAATTATTCTATTTCTGAACTTTGTATTTTTTTCTAATGTTCTATTTGACTATATTTATGCTAATAATGCATAGTTTTATAGACCATAATCTTATTATGTATTTTCATATTGGATGGGGAAGTCTCCCTAATTTGCACTCTTTTTAATTGTCACTTCTTGCACATTTATTCTTTCTATGAACATAGATATCAGTTTCTTAAGTTTTATTTTTAAAAATCATATTAGAATTTTGCTTGGGACTGCATTGAATTGATAGATTTATTTTTACTTGGGCATTCTATGCTGTTTCTCAAGGATACTTTTTTTCTTTTGATGAATAGAATTTTTTTATCCTTTTTGTTCACAAAATTACTATATATACTATTTTTTTCATGTATGCTAATGTTGTTTTTCATAATCATTTTTCCTGCAGATTATAAACACACCAGCCAAGGCATATCAACTTCATTCTCGACCAGTACCAAAATTAAGCCCTGAAATGGGGAGCTTCAGCTCTATATGCACTCAGAATTCTAGCAGATTAGATAATGATATATCAAGTGAGACAGTTCCACCTGAGATGAATGAGCAAGCTTTTGAAGCCATTTCTAAAGAGCTTAGAACAGTGCAGGTAATGTTTAGTTTAGGAAAAATAAATAGTTGCACATTCATTTAAGTAAATTTACTTCGTCATTTTAACTCCCTATAATTTGCAGTGTCTAAACTGCTTAATATTAAAATCATATCTTTTTAAGTGTGGTTGCGTATAGGTCCCTGGCTTGGAAATCACCTCACTCTTGTTCTTTTTTTTTTTTGTCTTTTTGTCTTTTTTCGTGTCCGGCAACGGATCGCATCCCTCAGTGTCGCACCCATACCGGGTGTTCTTTTTTTTTTTTGTCTTTTTGTCTTTTTTCGTGTCCGGCAACGGATCGCATCCCTCGGTGTCGCGCCCATACCGGGCCGGGACTGGCAACGGGATCGCAACCCTCGGTGTTGCACCCGCACCTCGCTCAGCCAGTGAGCGGCCGGTCTGTATGTGGGATCCGAACCCTCGGCAGGAGCGCCGCCATGCTTCCCAAGCGGTGCACTGTAGCAGTGCGCCACCAGGCCAGCCCCTCACTCTTGTTCTTTTAATTTGCTTTGCAGTCCTTAGCAAGTCATTCTGCAGAGAGTCTCCGTGGGCTTTGGTTCCCTCATTGTAAAATGATCAGTTTGCCGCTAGCTTCAAAGAACTGCTTTATATGATACAGTGCTGAAGAAAGTTGAAAGAGTTGAAAGAATCTTATTATAGATCACATTTTAGACAGCTTTTAGTGTGTTTGGAATAACATGTGAAATTTGATTATATCAGAATTTTGGTGGTTTGGTAATTTTTAAAATAAGTTTTTCTACTGTCCAGTAAAACTTGGAGTGGGCAAGACCACCCCAGCTCCCAGTAAGTTGCCCAATCCTGGCCATGGAGATCTGACTGGTGAGGTGACCCCTTGCAACCCTGAGGAAGCTTCTTAGATGTCTCAAGATGGCTTTATGATGTAATCTAGGATTTTAATTTTAATCACTTTTTTCCTTTGTGTTTCAAATTATCCATTTTGACAGACTACAAGTATAATTTTGCAACATGAGAAATCATTAGTATGTAGCCTTTGGAGAAGTAGTTTTCTGGCTCCAAAAAGGCCTTTGATTCCTTTATTCATATGAGGTTTTGAGTTTGTTTTGTTTTATTTTTTTGTTTCTAATGCAGAAGAAATGGTGGAATGTTTGAGAATTTCATTAAAATAATTTTTGATGAATGAAGTTTTTGTGTTGCAGGAACAAATGAATGCTCTTCAAGTACAGTTGGATGAGGAAGAGCATAAAAACCTAAAGCTTCAGCAGCATGTTGACAACTTGGAACATCATTCTACCCAAATGCAGGAGGTGAGACCAAAACCATGGCATCAGAAAATGTGTGAAACAAATCCTCAACGTAAGAGTATTACAGGAAGAAAATGACTTCACAAAGCTTTAATCAAGGCTTATCTGAGTTGTATTCTCTACTTGGTTACTAAGCATACTGCTCTGATAATGAGACAGAATTCTGAATTCTGGCCAACTTAGTTGATAGTGCAAATGGATCCCTTGCTATTTGTTTAGAAGAATGCAAGGTGACAGTCCTCATTATTGCAGTGATCCTTTGTTGATCATCTTCACTGTAGTTTATGGGGACAGCCAATTTTCTTCTGGTAAGAGACCTTAAAACTAGACTTTAAAAACAGAAACAAGTTAATGATTTGGAGTGTGTCTTTATATGCCAGTATTTTTTTTCCAGTGAATTTATCTCTTTTCCAAAGTTTTTCTCATCAGAAAGAACTGATGGGACCAAGCAGCAGCAAGAACATCTCTCACAGATGAATATTCTTGAAAAGCAGCTTCGAGACTCTCAAACTAAGAATGACTGTAAGTTTGAACAATTAGGAGCTTTGTAACCTTAAGGAATACTGTAACTCGGTATCTTTTTGGTTATTTAAATAAATGTTGTTCTGTGTTTTTGTTGTGGAATGAACTTGGCAAGAAAGGCTCCAGATGCTCGGAAGGAAGGAGAGTCAGAAGGTTTATTATGCGCGGGACCCAGGTGAACTCTCGTTCTGAAATCCTGGGACCATGGACATGAGTTTGACAGGCTTTTTATAGGCCATAAACTTAGGTTTAACTTATATCTTAGACAAACAGCTGTTGGTTTTAATTTCTTTTCACCCATGTGACTTAGGTGAACAGACAAAATTAGAAATGCAAGCAGGGCAGGCTAGCAAGATTACAAAACAGAATGCCTGCAGGCAGTTGATTATTAACTAGGCAGAGTTCTGGGAACCCTGGGAAATAAGCACATTCAGTTACAGAGGCATTTTGCAAGTTAGTCAAAACTTTAATTTTTTAATTCTCTCATCACTTCCCCCCTTTGATACTCTTTCTAAATTTCAGAAGGAGCATCACCTACAGACTCTTTATCTTTTAGTAACATGTAAGAGTATTCTTGGGGTGACAGTATCATTTGAAATTTGATTGACTGTAAACGATCCAAAACAAACCTGACAAGGCAATTTAGAATGCATGCGGCAAACAGGAGGACTAAAAAGATCATTATCACTGGCCCAGCAAATGGCAAAACCCAGGATAACCAGTTCCATGTGTTTGCCCAAGAAAACCAGGATTGTTCTAATTCCAGACTTTTCTTGGTCAGGCACTCTTTTAGTTGTTGGATTATGTTTCTAACTATTCCTGACTTGTTGGCATAAAAACAGCATTCTTCATTAAGGAAAAGGCATAGCCCCCCTTTCTCTGCACTAAGTCAGTCTAATCCTCGCCTATTTTGGAGGACCACTTCTGCCAGGTGTCTGCCTGGCCTTGTAATGCTGCCAGGGAGTTGGCCACTTGCTCCATATCTTCAGAGAAATCTTTGGTCAGTTTATAATAGGAGGTTGCAGAGTGTGCTATCCCTCTAACCCCTGTTCCAATCCCAGCAGTTATTCCCAAACCAATTAGCAAAGGAATAGTGAGGGGGATTGCTCTTTTTTCTGACATGTGTCCCAAGGGGAACAGTGAGAGATTGGTTTCCTGGGACAGTATCTGCCTCAGGGATGGTGGAAGCTAATGTGCAGACTCCTGCCCAGTCTGCAGGGAGATATTGATAGGCAGAACTTCCACACACGAGGAAAGTACCTTTCTGTACTTCCGACACCAGGGCTCAGAGTGTTCAGAGGTGGAGATGCTATTGATATTGTTACATTGTTTTTTTGTTAAATAGCCCACCTTTAGGGCCTCTCCTTGGTTCTGAATGCACCGTGGAGCCCTGAGTGTCATGATTATGTTTGTAAGCCTGTGCTCTTGTGCTGTGTTAAATTGACTTGAGTTTCCCTTTGAGATATTGAAGCCACTTATTGGGATGGCAACATGACGAGGTGTCTTGGGCAGGCAGAGCCAGCAGTCCTTAGCCAAAGCAGGATTAGAGATATTTAGGAGGTGGTGGACAACATCTAATACTTGGTCAATGTCTGATTTATTGTGACTAACATTAGAGTTGTTTCTTAGTATCTGAAGCCTCTGGGTTAAGACTTGATTAGGCCCCTCTTTAATTGGGCTGATTGGATCCTCACGTCTATCTCCATAATTTTTGCCTTCCCAACAGTTAAGAGTAGCCTTGGAGAGTGCAGGTCCAATAAAGTTTCTGGTTGGGCCCTTGACAGTTCTTTTTCTGTTTCCAGCAAGCGTTTAGGCCAACGACAGTTTGGGTGTACAATTTGGGAGGAGCAAAAAAGGGAGCCAACAATAATAGTTTGAGGTGAAATAGCGAATTTGGTCACATTCTTTGTTATTTTTTAAGTAAACCTGTATGGGATATATGCCCTGAAAAGCATCTCATTCGAGTGTCCCACAAGTTTGAGGCATTTGTGGCTGATAGCATGATTCTGGTGGAGGAACACCCTGTCGACCTCTTATAGAGTACAGTATGAGAGGTGCCCCTCGGAATGCCAGATTGGTAAGGTCAGTAGCAGTAGTAGGCTGAGATTCATTTTTAACCCTTCCTTGCCTGAAAAGGGAGGAGGTTTGATTTAAGAAACACACTGCCACCTGAAACTGCCTAATAGGCTTCCTATCACTAATAAGTACAGGAGTGCTAGGCCAACCTTTTCTATATTACTCCAGTCTTTTGGGGTAGTGGACACTAGAAATACAGTAAATACTAAAGCAAGCAGTATAACAAAACCAAGTGGCAAAGGATTACAAATACTTATCATGTCCTGTGATACAAATTCCTCAGGCTTCGGCCGTGTGTGGATCAACCAGCTTCTGGAGTGGCCAGAACAGGGCAATGACAATCACTGGGGGAACACCTCTGGAACCAAATCTTGAGTGGGTTTGAAGGATCAACCTTTGCAGACCAGGAGGTGGTGTCATCTGGGGAGGCTGCCTGTCTCACTCACATATGGTGGATCCAGGGAGTCTGCCCTGCAACTTTAACTGCAGTAGGGGTAGTTAGTACAATTTAGCTTCTGGAGTGGCCAGAACAGGGCAATGACAATCACTGGGGGAACACCTCTGGAACCAAACCTTGAGTGGGTTTGAAGGATCAACCTTTGCAGACCAGGAGGTGGTGCCATCTGGGGAGGCTGCCTGTCTCACTCACATATGGTGGATCCAGGGAGTCTGCCCTGCAACTTTAACTGCAGTAGGGGTAGTTAGTACAATTATGTATGGCCCCACCCAGGTAGGCTTTAGCAGAGCCTTTTTCCAATCTTTTACCCATACCATGTCACTGGGCTGAAACTGATGGGCCTAACTCCCTAAGGGGATAGGGGCCCGTTCTAAAACTGTTTTATTTATTTGTTTGAGAGTTTTAGCCAGTGACTGCAGGTATTGTGTCAGTTCCATTTCTCCCAGCTGCTGGGGGTCCCCTTGTAGTCTGGCTATGAGTAGGGGTGGTCTTCTATACATAATTTTGAAGGTGGAGTATCCTGTTGGCCCTGTCATGCATTAGACTCGTAACAGGGCCAAGGGAAGCATATCTATCCAAGGGAGCCCTGTTTCCTGGCAGAACTTAACTAATGTGGTCTTCGGGGTCCGGTTCATGTGCTCCACTTTCCCTGAGCTTTGTGGCCTGTATGCTGCTTGAAGTTTCCATTTTATTCCCAGCATTTTGGCCAGTCCTTGGACAACTTCCGCAACAAAGGCTGGTCCATTGTCAGACCCTATAGTTAAAGGGAGCCCATATCTTGGAGCCACCTCTTTTAAGAGGGCCTTTATAACCTCTTGGGCTTGCTTGATCCTTGTGGGCAGTGCCTCACTCAATCCAGTGTAGGTGCATATTGTCACCAACAAGTACTTGTAGCCTTTGCAGGGCTTTACTTCGGTAAAGTTGATTACCAAGTCCTCGAAGGGCGAGGTCCAAACTGGCTATATTCCAGTAGCTGGCTTGGTCCTCGCTTGGCGTTGTTTTGGATGCAAGTCAGGCATCGTGAGCTGATCTGGGCAAAGAGAGAGGCTAATTTTGGGATGAAGTAGTAGCGACTCAGCATGGTCTCTAGAGCCATCTTTCCCCAGTGTGTCAGTTTGTGATACTCTAGAACTAGCCAGTGGTTCATCCGTCGATAGTCTGGGAGCTACCACCATCCTTTAGGAGTCTTAATCCCACCTTCCCTCTCTGCCCATTGATCTTCTTTTGTATATTTCATCTGCTGTGCCATTTCCAGTACCAGCATGATCTTGGCAGTTTCTTCCAGGCTTTTAGAAGATCCTGTTTGGGCAGCTGCTTTCCTGGCTGCCTGATCAGCCAGTCAGTTTCCTTCGCTGATCCTGTCAATGTCCTTTTGATGGCCTTTACAGTGGATAACTGCCACTCAGGTAGGGTCCCAGACTGCCTCAAGAAGCTGAAGAATTTCTTCTTTGTTTTTTTTTTTTTTTCGTGACCGGCAACGGATCGCAACCCTCAGTGTCACGCCCGTACCGGACTGGGACCAGCAACGGGATCGCAACCCTCGGTGTTGCCCCCGCTCCTTGCTCAGCCAGTGAGCGGCCGGTCTGTATGTGGGATCCGAACCCTTGGCGGGAGCGCCGCCACACTTCCCAAGCGGCGCACTGTAGCAGTGCGGCACCGGGCCAGCCCAGAATTTCTTCTTTGTTTTTGATTGCTTTTCCTCCTGCCGTTAGCAGGCCTCTTTCTTTATATAGGGCCCCATGGATATGCAGGGTTGCAAAGGCATATTTTGAGTCAGTATAAATGTTGACTCGCTTCCCTTTTGAGAATCTGAGTGCCTGAATAAGTGCCCATAATTCTGCCCGTTGTGCTGACCAACACTGGGGCAGGGGCTTTGCCTCTATTATTTTTTTATGAGTTGTTACTGCATATCAAGACTTTTGTTGTCCCTCCTTGATGTAGCTGCTCCCATATGTGAACAGTTTCATTTCTGGATTAGTCAAAGGCAGGTCCGTCAAATCAGGTCTGCTGGAGTAGGTTTCACCTATCAGTTCTTCACAATTGTGGTTTGGAGGGCTGGGCTTGGCAGGCAGGAGCGTAGCTGGATTTAGAGTCTGTACTGTCTCAAGTCGCACCTGGGGGTTTTTGCAGAGGAGGCCCTGGTAATGAGTCATTCTGGAGTTAGTCACCCATTTGTACCTCTGACTGTTCATCAAGGTGGTCACTGCATGTGGGACCTTTACATTTGAGATTTTGTTCCAAAGTAAGTTTGTTTGCTTCCTGGATTAAAGCGACAGTGGCTGCCAGGGCCTGTAGGCAGGGTGGCCAGCCATCTGCCATGGTATCCAGTTGTTTGGACAAGCATGCCACCTATCTCTGCCCAGGCCCTATAGTCTGGGTGAGAACCCCCAAGGCCATATGATCCCTCTCGTGTACAAAGAGATTAAAGTCCCAAGTTATATCCAGAATTCCAAGAGCAGGACCCTGG